CAAATCCAAAGTACAATTTAATTACTAAATTTAAAGTATCATTTAGCTCGGTTTCAGACCATTTGAAATTCTAATACGTAACAGAATAAGCACTGAAATTCATGAGTTGATATAATGTTGCATTACACATATGATCACAAAACACCACACCCCATGTTTCTGAAAACTATATATATAATTTACACATAAAACTGAAGTATAATTTATTTCCTTGACCAAGCAAATCGTTAGTCTCTCAATCTTTAGAAGGCGCATATGCTTTATGATATTTTATTCAAGATTTATAAATAAAATTGTTATCAACAATATATGTATTTTCAACTTCAGCAGCCCTTATGCAACACATGGGCTAAAGAGCTAGTTTGGAAACTCCGAGGTTTAGACTTAGCCGTTCTAGTTTAGAGCTGCTGATCAGAGGAAGGGCAACTAATCAGAAACACTCGGCGCTTGCACAAATATTCTTAATCGAATTATAGACCTGATCGTTACTATTTATGAATTACTCACAGTTGAAAGTGCAAAGCGTGTTTAGCGACATATCAGAGTGTTCAAATCTTGGACCTATCGATCAGCAGCCAGGCATGCTAAATACCAGAATAGGAGTACACATATTAACAACAGATATAAAAGGCATAGTCTTGAACACAATGCTATTATAGTGCAACCTTATAACAAACGTCAACGTTTACAATTTGTCTGTAGGATTATGTTTATAAAACATTACAGTGTTTTTAAACATAAAAATTATAACACCAAATGTAATTCATCGGGGAAATGTTTTGAAGTTTCTCGTACTTGATGCTATGACTTGTTGTCATCCATAGCATTAAAACAAAGTTTATTTATATTATTTTGCATATTCATTGTATTTTATGAGCTACTATACTATAACACGTGTAACTGACTTTACTTGTTCAAATATTGATTTGTAAAGTAATATTGATAAACAAATAATAATTTATAATGTTAATTAACATAGAATCATTCAAATATTCTACCATATGATCAAACGAAACAAAAACTAACATCTTCGAAGAAAGAGTGGTCACTTATATGCCAAGTTTTGAAAACCGAATCAAAGCCAGTTGAAGTATATTTTTAGCCGCGGCATAGCGGCTCATAGAATGGCTCAGAGTTTTGTTGTTGTTGTTTTCAAGTACAAACTTTCAGCTCATAACTCCGTCATCTCTTGATCGATTTGAGTACTAATTAGTTTTGGACTCAGGAGGTCAAACCATTTCGATTTATGTATTTGACCACATCCAAGGTCTCATAGGCTAATTTATTCTAATCCTGCCTAAAAGAATTTCAATTTGAGGGTAGGCTGGTAGAGATCCTGATGAATAATAAAATCGAATCGGCTATACGCGCTCACCATGCTTGGTATTGCTAGAGCACAAAAATATAGCTAATAAAAGGGACAAAAGTCTCATAAATTAATTTACTCTAATTCTGCCTAAAATAATTTCAAGTGCCGTGGCTATTGAGGATTTCCTCTTGTTTTTATTTTAATTTCTATCACTATCTCTTTCAACCAGTCTAATAAAAAGCTATTGTAACGTCTTAAAAGCTACTTGAAAATAAGAATAGAGCATAATGGTCCAAAGCTAGAAAAGCAAAATTATGTCTTAAATATTATTATGATACAGAAGTTGAATACGTTATATTAAAACGATTTTGGAGTATTACTACGTCATTGCAGTACATGTCGCCATGTATGGTCATGCTATATCTGAAGGACGTGCTTCTTGACAATAGGGTTAGGGCGCTCGACTTCCAATCTGCAGAACGCGAGCTCGAATCCCGTCACCGAACATGCTCACCCTTTCATTCGTGGGGGCGTTATAATGTGATGATCAATCTCACTGTTCGTTGATAAAAGAGTTGGTAGTGGGTGGTGTTGACTATTTGCCTTCCCTCTAGTCTATCATTATTAAATTAGGGATGGCTAACGCAGACAGCCCTTGAGTAACTTTAGGCGAAATTTAAAAAAATAGATAAATAACCTCAACAATGGCCTTGCAGCATAGTTTCCATTGTAAAAGACTCCATCGTAAGGTTTTCATGTCCAAAGCACATCACTCCTTCCTTCATAATCCATCTAGTGTACGAGGACTACGGTTTCCCAGCGCTCTTTTCAACAGACCTATCGCACAAAAACCTACAGGCGTTGTGGCCGGCGACTTGATCAATATGTCTTTGTATGAAATATTATGAATACCCGTTCCATTTTTCAACGGTGATGTCGTGGAAGATACTTCTTTGTTATGTTGCTTGGGACACGTGGACAGTTTTTGCCACTGACCTTTGTTTCGGGGATTCTCATCTGTAAGAAGACGCCGCACTTTGCTTTCCATGTCTGGGGTACGACTTATTGCACATCTATTTTTTTATGCAGATCTCTTTGTTTTCCAGTGCCATTAAGTACAAGGGATATTTCCATCTTGGAAATCCTAAATCACTATGATCTGAGTGTATGATTATTTTGCGCCAGCATGCCCCAAGATGAACAAAAGACGCGGCCTGGCTGACTAATGAATGAATATTTACTGTAAAATTCTTATCAATGCTATAAGTGTAGCTACCAGTTTGGCCGCCAATTTTGATTTCATTATTTTAAGTCGCACGTTCAATCCTTTTTTTGGCCACTCCTTTGATTCACACCTAAGGTGTTTTTGGTTAGATACACATAAACAGTCATGTTCCCATATCTGAGTGGAGATTTTCCTGAATAGATCTGGTACAATCATAAAACATGCCCAGAATAGGCAATAAGAAGAAACGAGTTTTGTGAAGCACTGAAGGCGTTTTAGAAAGGACCATGAATTTAGTCTTTTAAATACTTCTTATCATGACGGTTCGATATCACTTGAAAAAATCATTCTTATGTAGTAAAAAAAAATGTGCTCCTTCACTTCCACATTTAATAGAATATAGTTAGTAGAAACTTGTTTTTACAATTCTACTGCCGCAGTGGGCAAAGCGCATATAGTCCATTGTCCAGTTATGCGCTTAACAGCAAAATAAAACACAACAACAATTAATTATATGCTTTTAAACTTCAATATAATGAAATTAATTTGTGTAGATTTCCACTTTTTATTTGTGTAGGCCAAAATATTGTTATAATATAATAGAATCGATCGAAACTGTTCAAAACATAAGCAGATTAGTGACATTCTCGATCTAATTAAAATCAATTCAGAATGTTGAATGAACATCTAAAATCAAACAATTCAGCCAGATGATGGTGAGCTCAGTTTCAAACTGTCGACAGTTTTATCTATTTACATGTAATGTTGTTTTATAAATACCTTAACGGTACTACTTCTTCTTTTGCACTTCAAAATGTGATACAAAGTTTTTTATTAAATAAAATAAATAATGGTTCTCACATCAATAGATGATTGTTAAAGCCTATTATATCACTCACGCTTTTATCTACGGTGTATACACAACA